CTGTAATGAAACAATAGAGAATGGATAAGAAGAGTGAGAACTTGGAAATAGTTAGTGACATTATTACTTAGTTAAATCACAGAAAGGCTTCAGATAGACTAGTGGTACTGGTAATACATCAAAAACAAACTTTGAACCAACAATACTGTATTGGGCTTTGCATATACTGTGTACTGCTTGGCATTGTACTCTTGGCATTACTGTATACAGCATACACATTGATCTACTTACCCATCACTGTAATAGAAGTATTAGCATTAGCTGATGTACTCGTAAGATATGTGTAACTATTAGGAGCAGTCACTTCAACGTTACAAGTATACATTCCACTATCATCAGCATCATCCAATGGATAGAACATTACTGTTGCATTATAATGTAATGTATTGATCATATTGAGACCCTCAGTAATAGTAGCATCAGCTGAACCCATAGGAACATTAGTACCATCACGTGTCCATTGATTAGTGACAGTCACTGGTATAGTAACTAAAGGATCTAACATTATGTCACATTTAATGAAGAATGATGTCCCTGCATATAATGTATCATCACGTTCCTTTGATATAGTAACAATCACTGGTAGAACTGTAAGACAATGAAATTAATTTTAATTAACTACTTTAGCATGACATAATATGTATAAACATGCAAATTTTATGCTTTATTTTAAAATGCACAGTAGAGTAACTTACAGTGAACAGTCAAATTAAAAACATCACTAGCTTCTTGAGAATCATATGTAGCAGTGCTAGAATCATCAGTGTTATTATAACCAGTTACATTAAATTCAGCCATACATGTATACATTCCAGCATCTTCAAACCTCACTGGATCCAGTATTAGAGTATAGTTAGTAACTGAACCAGTATCATCTGTTGTGATAGTGTATGGTTTATTTAAGTTAGAGAGCATTTCCATATTTGTATCATTCATTTTCAAGAAAGTAATCGATGGTGTTACTACTAATCTCTCAACTGTTATTATGGTACATGTTATAGTTAAACTCTGACCAACTTCAACTGAACCAGCTGATGAGAAATCTACTGTCATTGGAGGAAGGCCTATAGTGAAAGACAGAATAAGTAGGGAGAAGAGAGTGTGTGTATTTGTGTAGAGACAAAGAGCATGAGAATTAACAATAAATGCAAAAGAGGTTGAGAGGAGAGAATTATAGGCAATAGAGGAGCAGTATATAATAATTTACTTTCAA